AAATATCAATAAAAGTGCATAAAAAAAGGTTACACTGTTTAAAAAAACTTTGAATTGAATAGCGGAAACATTTCTGATTGTAAACATTTAATAATATTGTATTTTCACCGCATAGTTTTAAAGATAATTAATAAAAATCAATTAGAAATCATGCATTCAAGCAGTATTTCGGACAGGGGCATTGAAACGACGGCAACACTGTAATGTGATCAACGCGTTGACTTTACCCGCGAGAATTCAAAAATACAATAAAATACAAACTTTTATTTTAAACGTTTTTATGAAAAAAAAAACAATTTTAACTTAATATATTAAATTTTAAAAAATGTTAAAAAATGGTTTATTTTTTTACAAAAATTTATAAATTTAGTTATTAACAATCGATTACAAAAAAATAAATAACAAATCTTAATGGATATTAAAATGATCAATATTAGCTATTTCAATTAATTTTTATCTTGATAATTAATTTAAAAAAATTTAATGCTATGATTATGATAATCATAATTATTAATTATTAATTTAATTGAAAAAAAATTAATTATATTTAATAAATAGATATATTTTTTGCAATAACAATTCTATGGTTTAAAGTAATTTTATAATTTGAAATACGAAATGTAATGTAATAAAAAACAAAATGTGTTAAATTGAAAAAGAAAATTGTTTAACACGCCTATCTAATTGTTTTTTATTAATAAATCTGCCTTTATACCTTAGAACACTTTCCATGTTTGCATTTTATTTGGGGTTAGGTTTGTCAATTGACATTTGACAACACACGCGCATACTATGTGAAGTTGTCAGCAAATACACTGACAGAGTAAGCGAGAAAGGAAATGAGATAACCTACGACGGACTGAGATGAAAATAGACAACGAAAGTTTTACTCATGTTAGCCAACACTACACAATAAATGCAGCGTTGCCAAGTCAACTGCAGCCAAATGTTATATTTCTTTTAAATTATTTTAACGATAAATTCACAATTATACACATTTATATGCAAGAATATATTAAAATATAATTAAATAAATTAAATTAGGTGTGTTTCATACAATAGAATAAAAGTAAATGCATATTTTCATTAACGATATTATGTTGGTATGAAATTAAAATTCGTATGCTGAAGCATTGGTACTCCCTCTTCCCTGCCTGCCCCTCAAATGATCCCCCGAACCTCCTTAATTTAAATAAAATTTTCTAATTTTTAAATTTAAAATAATTTTATTGTAAAATTATAGTACAAAACTTATTTTGTTAAGTCTTATATTATTTAAACTTTAAATCATATAATTTAATTTTAATTTCACTCCTGCGCCACGCAACCCCGGGCCGGGGTTGCTTGGCGCGCTTTGCACAGCTTCAAATAAAGTGGTATTAAAATAAAAATATTAAATATATTTCAACTTTCTTTTTTTTAATTAAAGATGATATGTTACAACAAGTTTTCTTTACATTAACTTTTTAAAAAAAGCAAAAATGAGTGAGTTACACAACAAAGAGTTTACAAATTTTACAAATTTACCCCAAATTTTATGAAATTTTATAAATTTTGGGGTAAATGGGGACAGTCAGTTTCATGCGTTTAAAGCTTATCTAAATTTTTTTCTGCTGCATAAAATTAATCCTGGGAACGTAAATAACAAGTTAAAAAAAATAAACCCGCAAATGTTAACTTTTAAACGAAGAAACTTACGTAATTTGTGAAAAATAGCAATTTTGTCCCCATTTACACCAAATTGCAAAAAAATTTGATAAAAATAAAAATGCATTTTTTTTAAGTAAAATTTTCAATTTTTATATAACTTCTATACTACATATATATATAGTAACCAATTTATAGATGCCTTAAAAATGTATCGATTGACACTTATTTGCAAAAATTTTACGATTAAATATTATTAAGGGATTGAATTATTAATATTTAAAAATCTTATACAGAATGTGTATTATTAGACAATTTTTCAATTTTAAAATGTTTATGATTATATTTTTAGAAGCTTTAAAAACTCATCGATTTATCTATTTGCACTTTTTTTATTATACAATATCTAATATTACGAAACTATTTTGAAAATAAAAAATAAAAAAAATCCTGACAATAAACAGTTTTAGAAATTCAATTTTTAAACACATATAAATATAAAGTTACTAATATAACATGACAGCAGTTTTATTATTTATGATTATAATTTATCAAAGAAATTTAAAAAAATTACATATTTCAAAACATGTTTAATTTTCTTTTTTCAATTATACTTGCCGCTGTTTGATATATTATTTCAAATCTCTTTTGATTAAAAGTTATAATAATGTTATCTAATAATTTTTCGTTTAATTTGACTGACTTTTTTGATTTATTATTTAAAATGAAATTCTATAATGTGTAAAATTATAAATTTCTATTTTAACCTTTAAAGTACACGAGTACAAATCGCCTATGATGAGTTTTTTAAAATTGGGGTTTTTCTTTAAAAACATGTCTTTTTTTAATTTAAATATTTTTTTAAAACATAATTTTATATCAATAAAACAATAAAATTTAAAAAAATTTAAAAAAATTTAAAATAAATTAAGTAGATAAATTTAAAGTGGTAAAATATTGTCACTATTTTAATTAAAATTTTTTTTGAAGCATATATCTACAATTAACAATATTAATATTATTTATAATCATTATAATAATAATTAATAACCATAATTAATTAAAAATCTTTTTTTGTTATAATATATATGCCTCAATCTCTAAAGTGTACGTTAATTAAAATCTAGTAGATTATAATGTCCGCATGTATGAGTTTCAATTATACAATGTAAAAAATGATATATAAGTGAAATAAAAATATAGATCTTTCTAACAGGTTGTACTGTTAGGTATATAATTATAGCAGATTTAACTCTTAAGTGCGGCGCGTCGTGGTTTATGCACTAATAAACAAATTCGTAATTAATTACATAATTTTATTTCCTTCCTTATTTATAAGTCTAATTTGTATAAAAATATTTCTTAAAATTTTTTTTATTTGAGTCACTCCAGCGAAAATCATTTATAGACCAGATTGCTTCATTATTTAAAAATTAAAAAAATCCGTAATCAATATAAATAATATTCCTGTATTCACCTGAATACAGAGAAAATAATTTTTCAAGTTGTCAATTGACTTTTTTATTTTATATTTGAATGTTTAAAAAAATATTTAATTTTTTCCTTTTATCTTGAAATTTTTATTTTTAATTAATTAGTCATTTACATATACAAATTTTTTTTAAATGCTTTTTTTTATTAAAACGAATTAATATAATAGAAGAATCTTTTAATTTTTATTATAATTTTTTTTTCTTTCTAGATCTCCTTGAACTTTGTTATAAACTTCTTTTTTAGCTCATGTTGGCGTTAAAATTTATTATTCAATTTTTTTTTCACAAAATGACACCAGTGTCCTTGATTAAAAATGCATTTCTCCTTGTGCAATAAAAACTAGCAATATTTCTTCCTTTTTTAGAGGATTGTCATGGCCATTGAGCAAAGAACATAAAAATGTTTATTTTCTTATCTACTAACAACCTGTCTCATAATATACCTACATATACTGTAAGATTGTCTTTTTTGTTGTTTAGATTTAAAATAAAATTGTAAAAGGGAAAGTTGTTTAAACTACTATTTTTTAATGACACGCTAAAACTATAAGTATTTTGTGCAACTCACTAAACAATTATTTCTAACGGTAACTCGATAAATTTTCAATTTATTATTTTTTGTTCTTTTCGAAAAATAATTTACATATTAACAAGAGGGGAGTAAATTAGTTTGTTTTTTATAAATATTATTAATATAATAAGGTATGTGTTTGAAAAAATTTCGCAATATTTTGTTCATTAATAATATAATTTTATTCATTAATATTTAAAAAACATAATTTCAGATAACAGGAATTTTACAATTTTGACATTTCATTTAATGAATGAATCAATTTCTTTTTACTCGCGAGAGTATAATTTTTTTTTTTTTTCTTAAACATCAAGTTTAATTACTTTTCTGACAAAATAAAAAAATAAACAAAAAGTAAACACGAAACACGTAAAGTAAGTTTTTATTGTATCTATATAACGGTTGGTATTTTAATAATCTACATAGTCGAGAAACACGAATGTTGTACCCTGAGTTTGAGAAGTAACACCCTGTCTGTCTCGAAATATGAACAGTTATTTCCATGTAAAAGGGGATGATAACCTGGTGGTTATAACGCAACACGCAAAGTAGAATCGTGAAGAAACTTGTCTTCAGTTTTTTTTTTCTCGCAACTGTTTTACTTTCTTATAGTTTAATGAAATGAAAAAGAAAAACCCCTTCAAAAAAATAGAAAACACACAGAAAAATAAATTTAACTAAAAAATAATTTGATTTTCTTAAAATCATATTTAACACCTTTTCCTTTTATTTCTTTTTATTTTTCTGCTTATAAAAAAAAATTGGCATTCATAAGCGAAACGAAAACTTCACAAAGAAAATTTAAATTTCACCATAGCGGTATATAATTTCATGTGAAAATATCTCTCCATAGAAATTTTAATAAAGAGTTTTCATATATATATAAAACAGAGAAGCTTATGTGACTGCAGTTTTGTGAAATTAAAAAAAAAAAATTTTTTTATTTTAAATGATGTGTAATTAATTTTTTTTCAAACCATATAGAAATAAAACCATAAACAATAAAAGAAACATAAATAAACTCAATGTAACTTAAAATATAAATATACATGACAAATTATTATTCCGATAATACACTGTTTTATATAGAATATATATCAGGAGTATTAAATAACAAATTGAATTTATACTCCTGATGAATATATAATAATAATGCAATTAAATAGATTGAAATATTTCTATAATTAAAATTGCTAATGACATATATTATAAAATTATCTGAATCAAATACACAATATAATATCTAAATTGGGATATGTATATTCAGTGAGATATCATTGTGATTACAGGTTCATCCATGCGGTCGATATCGGCACAATACCGTGGTCTTCATTCTAGCCAAGGAGTACAATTTGAAGAATCTCCGAACAATTCACAGGCTGGACAGACTAACCAGTGGAATTCTTCTTTTTGGAAGAACACCAAAAAAAGCAAGACAAATGGAACATCAAATTCGCAATCGACAGGTATTTTTTACTAGAATATAAATGAAACATTAATTATAAATAATTTAATAAATTTAGAATTACTGAATCAAATAGTAATATTTTACTAATGTTAAAATTTCTACTAATTTGAATTAGTGAATGAATTGTCACTAATTCAAAAGAGAGTACTGAGAATATAAAATAATATATTAAATAATTTTATCTTGGGTTGTCAATAATTCCAATAAAACTATCAATCAAAGATAGAGAGTAATAATTAAATTTTTACTTCCAGTTATCTGTAAAATTATTTGAGCCATTAAGATTAATAAGTAATTATTTAAATTTATTATGAATTATATCAATAAGTCGTATTGAAGCTAAGTAATTGAAATGACTTAAAATTGACCTAGATTTTAAAAAAAATTTAATTTAATTATAACTTACAATTAACATTTTTTTTTCTTTCATATCAATAATTATTAATATTCCTGTTTTATTTATTAGGTTCACAAGCAATATGTGTGTCGAGTGGAAGGCGAATTTCCAGAAGATGAAGTTGTTTGTTCGGAACCAATTGAGGTCGTCTCATATAAAATAGGCGTTTGTAAAGTATCTGAAAAAGGCAAGGACTGTATGACAAGGTTCAAACGTCTCAGTTATAATGGAAAATCTTCTGTGGTCCTTTGTAAACCACAAACAGGTCGAATGCATCAAATTCGAGTTCATCTTCAGTATCTTGGTTATCCGGTCGTTAATGATCCTCTTTATAATCACGTTGTCTTCGGTCCACAAAAAGGAAAGGGTGGCAATATAGGTAAATATCCTTAATAACATTGAAAACTTATTTTTTTTGTAATATTAATCGTCTTGAATTTAATTGCATTTTTCAGAAAAATGTTCTTACTTTATTTTATAAATTTTATTTATTTTTCTCTTTGTTATAGTAATTTTTAAATTTTTAGTTTATTTTCAAACTTATAATTTTTTTTTTTTTAAATCATTGAACAATTTTATCGAAAATCATTCAATTGAACCAATTTTTATATGGCAGAATTTCAGAATATGCAAATAAGATAGGAATTAAATTTTCCAATGTTTATTTAGAGGATTATTTATTAATTTCAATATATATTATTTATTGTGATTAGTCACATTAATATTTTACAGAAATATATAAATTTGAATATTCAATTAACTGAATTAATATTGAAGAATTTATATTTGATTTAATTTTCATTGAATAATATTTTTTTATCGAATATTATTGACAATTTGAGAGAAATGTAATGCAAATTTTTAATAAATTGAATGTTTATTTATTTCATGATCTATTCGAATTTTTATTTTTTAAAATTATTAATATAATTTTTGCCATTAAATTTTCATTTAACTGAATATTAAAATTTTGAGAAATTGGCAAAATTTATTCAACCAGAATCAATTTTTCATTAAACTAAAAAATATAATTATTCAAATTAATATCATTTTCTTTGATTATTAGGCAAGACCGACGAAGAATTGGTGAGAGATTTAATAGGAATTCACAATGCGGAGAATTGGTTGGGAATGGAAGGCGATTCAGACATGAGTCTCTTCAAGCCAAAACTCGATTTGGAACGTGCTTTAACACCAGGCGACAAAGAAGGTTCACCCTCTTCAACACCCGGCCATTCAGAAGAGGAACAACAGCAACAGACGGAGCAACAACAACAACAACAACAACAACAGCAATCACAAACTCAACAGCAGCAGCAGCAGTCTCTCAAAGTTACTGTCGGCACACAAACCGGCTCTGAACCACCAGATAGTACTTTCGCAAACGATAAGATAACCGTCGATCCACACTGTTACGAGTGCAAAGTCAAATACAGAGATCCAAAACCCTCGGATTTGGTGATGTATCTTCATGCCTGGCGTTATTGTGGCCCCGGTTGGGAATACGAAACTCCCCTACCAGCGTGGGCGGCTAGTGACTGGATTGGTGACGAGCGATAGTTCGAATCATTAATTCCCGAAAACTGTCGAGAATTACAACCCTCTGACCCTTTTGATATCCTACCCCGTGCCTTCCATCAATTCGCGAGTCACGCTAAACCTTAATTGCTTGTTCGAATTTCTTGTATATCGACAATATATATATATATATACATATATGTATAGAAAATTAAAAAGTATTTTTTTCTCTCTCAGCTGTATATTAACAAACACACGTGAAATCAAATAAAAAATTTAAATTGCACAATATAAGAGCAAGACTGAAATATTTATTTCTCTATTCACACACAAAAAAGCTCCAAAATAAATTGATAAAAAACAAAATTGTCGTTAAGAAATGTACACAAGCAATCAAGGTTTTAATTGTACACGCGTCTATCTCGAGAACATAAAATTACATTAATGGGATTAATTATTCGAGTATAAGCCTTTGTTTTAAAAAAGAAATATTTTTCAAATAAGGACTAAAATTTCTTTAAATTCTTAAAATGATTCGCCCGTAACAGTTCTTTCAATTCATTCTACTAAAATATAAAATAAAGATTTCAATTTAAATTTTTTGAAATTTTTGAAAATTCAAAATTCAGAAAAATTTAATTTTCACTCTAAATACTTTGTTGGTAAAATTCAAATTTTTGGAATCGGAAAATTTTAAAAATTAGTGCAAATAATATTAATAAAAAATTTATATTATTTGTAATATTAATTACAAAGTAAAATTATAGAAATATAATATGTTATTTGTAACATTAAAAAAATAGTAAGCATTAATTTTTTTTGCAAAAATAAATATAGAACGAATAAAAAATAAAAAATATTTTCTTATTTTCTGCAAATGATATTTGTATGAATATTTTCTATTAACAATTACTGTAAATACAAAGTCATTTAAATTTAAATTAAATACTGGTTTACTTGTTTGTAACTTCAAAACTTAGGTTCTAGATTATTATTTTATTTTTATATTTCGCGTTTTCGAAGTAAAATCTTAAGTATCAATATTAATTTTTCCGTTTACTTTTTTCTGTAATTTAATGATGACTTGTAGTTCAAAATTGCAGACGATTATACCACACAATTCTCCTTCAACATTAAGTGTAATAAAATCTTAATACCTTGTCAAGTTGGAAATCAATGAATTCTATTAATCCCTCTTTAACTAAAAAGATACAATGAGAGTCTTTGCATAAACGACATAATCAACATTAATCTTTATATTTTCCAATGACATTTTTTCTATTCTCCGTATAATTGAATAAAATTTCAATTGTAATTGATTGATTAATTTAGATATTTGAAATTTTATTTTTAAATTAATCTTTTACAAAAAATTTTTTTTACTTCAAACCTTGAGATTTATTCTAAATCAAAATTTTTTTTTAAATATTTGACTCAACAATATTCCATGAATTTATCCTTTTAAATTAAAAACAAATATTTATAACTATATAAAAGTTATAAGAAATATTTATAATTATATAAAAAATTATAAGAAATCTTTTCCTGTAACTTTTATAAACTACAATGTGAAAAAGGTATTTTTCGTGAAAATTAAGTCTACGAATTTACAATTAATTATTGAATTTGCGAGAAAAAAAATTTAATATTCTCTTATTTGAACAATTTTTCAAATATTTAGCAAAAAATTTCAATCGAAATTTAACTATAGACTGTTGCGAATCACTTTAATAGGAAGAAAATTACATACATAAAAAAATTGTAATAAAACGGACCAACTATTTTATCAATATTTGGAAATGTAATTTTTTTTCTGTTAATTCTTTTGGAATGTACATTGAACTGAAAATACCCGCGGCTTTTTGAAGAAGAAAAAATGTTTCTCGAGTAAACGCAGGAAGCAATGACGTTGAAACTGCGATAGAACCGCATCTATTTTTATGGCAGATGTACAGGAATTAATGGCGCAACAATCAGCATGATCGTGCAAAGTAAGCAATAATGATCGTGCCCAATCATATCGTAGGCATACCTTTAAAAACTCAAAATGTAAAAGGTTTCTCACCGTGATCTCGATAATGCGTACTTTTTATTCAAAAAAGAAAAAGAGAAAGAAAGAAAAGAAAATTATCCATTAGCCAAAATTTATTCCACGAAGTTCATGATTCAGTATATAGCGTTTAAAAATATATTTGTAAAAAAAAACACAGAAGCAAATTCTTCATTTTTTTTAATAAAGCAGTCTTCGCGATTTATATATAAAGAAAATATACACAAACTCAATGTGAGCTTAATAATTAAACGCTAGAAAATTTGTGATTAACATTTTTTTTTTAATTTACTTTCAAATGTTCATGTTATTTATTTCTTTTTTATTATTTTGTTTCGCATTTCAGAGAAATTGAAAATTTTATCATATTTTTTTCTTAAATCATAATTTTTATTTTATTAAAACTGGAATTATTAAAATTAAAAATTCATAAATTAGACTTCGTTGAAGTCAATATTTAAATAATTAATTTCCTTTTAAATTCATTTGTTCAATTTAATGATTGCTTTCCTTTAAATTTAATTAATAATTAAAATCGATTTAAATTATGAAAGTCAACAATTTTCATTTCATTTTACTTAGAAAAAAATATTAAAATAAATTAATATTTTCATTGTGATTATTTATTGTTCTTTTATTTATTATTGCATAATAAATTAAGAAAAATAGAATAAAAAGAGATTTGACTATTTTTAAGGTGCCATTTTTGCACTCCAAAAGTTTGATAGTTAATATTTCTATTCGTCACGATCAGATGCGCTAAGAATAAAAGTAATTGAGTGCTTAAAAAACAAAATTTCCCAAAAAAAATTACCTGTCATCTATATTTGTTGTCGATTTGATCAGTTCATTTTTCTCGGCTTCGTTAATCTGTTAATTAAACTTAAGAATGTACATACGATTAATTAGATTTTTACTAGTGGAAAAACAATGATTAATTACACGTCTTTCAACTTTAATTTTTATTTTCTTTGCAAGTGGAGCTCATTTTTATTCCACAAATTCAATTTCTAATTATTCAAATTGAATGAAGAATTGTTTTAAAATTTAATTTCGAATGACAATATTTAATTAGTATTTATTTTTCATTACAACTAATTATTAATTCTTAAATTTATTATCAATTATAATTGCGAGTAAATTAAGATATCAATTTTTTTAATGAATTTTTTTGGCGAGGGAAAATTATGAGCTCCTGGCAAATTAATTTAACTGCCTTCGTCACAGAGAAAATTGTGAAGCTTTTCAATAATAATAATATTAATAAAAAATTAATAATAATAATTAGCGATAGATTATTTTTCGTTTCCGTTTTAGAGATTGTATGTGCGGCGAAATTTTTTACGAGTGAAATCAATTTTTTGAAAGCGACAAAAAAGGTACCCCTAATAGAATTTACAGATTTTATCTAGAAATATCTTATTTTATTACGAATCGTGTTCGTCTCGTATAAAAATTATAAATTAGAAAATCAGAGTTTACGGTCAGTAGAGAAAAATTGTGTAAGGACAGAGCTATTTGAGGAAGAGAAAAAAAAGGAAAAGAAAACAAAAATAATGCTCGTGTTAATAACGGACCTATTATAAAAGACAGTGTGTGTGCTTACTAACCCAACTGATACTTCATAAAGAAGCATCGTTAATCGTAATGGCTACATTAATTGTAAGTAATTCACGTGGTACAATAAACTCTACAAATCGATAAATCTTTATTGTATAATAATATTTAAATTGTCAGTGTATATGAATTTTAACAAAATTTCTTCTTTTACAAATTTAATTTTTTTCTAGATAGTAGGTAATCAGAATTATCTTTTAATAGATATTTTTTCTGATTACTTAATATTAGAATTGAAGCTAAATTTATTGAAATGATTTTTTTAAAGCTATCAATTATTGAAATTTTTTTTGATAGTTACCGATAATTAATTTTTTTCATACTATTAAATTATTATTGTCGAAGGTATCAAGAAAAAATTATTGATAAATTGTATAGTATCAATAAAAGAATCAATGAATTATTTATAAAATTAAAGTACATTGCAAAATACGAATTGATTAATTTAAAATTCAATATCGATTGTAACTTTGTGTATTTATTTCTGATTTGTATAGTTTATTATACTAAACGATATTTAAATGAAAAAAAAGACAGTCCCGATTAGTGGCACAAAGAAGACATCGGTCTGTAAATTCAGCGAGCGCTTTTGTATATATATTGTATACGCACATTGTACTGTATTATTGAGCTGTAGTCGACGGATCGATAGAAATAGAAAATTTTCTTGTATGCAATGAACGTAATGAAAATTATTGTTCGCTAATTTTATTTGACTTCTCATTTACAACTCCTTTTATTTTCCTATTTTATAAATAAAAAATATGTTAATGGTATAAGAAATTCCTAAAAAATTAAAATTTGAAAATTTTTCAATTTCCAAGTGTCAGGAAAATATATTAACTTAATGGAAAAAAAAGTAAAGAACAAAAGTTAATTTCACATGAAATTGAATGAATAAAATATTCGTTAAATTTACAATACTTTTGAGAAAAGATCAAAGATTCTTGAGTATTGTAATCCTTTTAAGAAAAAGCCTGTTTCAATTTTTAAAGCCAGAGAGTTTTTATTTTACTTTGAATTTGAGTTGCACACTAAAAGTCAAATTGAAATGTAATTAAAAATATAAAAGTAGTGAAATACTATTTTAAACATTTTATTAATAATTTTGATTATAACAAATATTTTTTTTTATACTTTTAAAACAAATTGGTTTTTAAAATGTATATATAATATATATAATTTATTTTCATTATTTAATTTTAAATAATGATTGAAATTATTGAAAGAAATTTTCCGCATTTTTGACAATAAAAAAGCGACATTAATAAATGTTATAAAACATGATTTTAACTAAAATCAATTAAATATTAAAATTAAATATTTCCCTTCAATATCAGTTAAAATCTCAATTTAAAAAATTTATTAAACTTGTCAAAAAATTACTAAAATCTCTTTCATATATTCAAAATTTTATTTTTTGAAAATAGTAAAATTTTTTAATAATAAAATTCAATTGTTTTATTCTATATAATATATATTTTTACTACTCATAAGAGAAAAACGATTAAATATATTTACTTAAATGTGTATTAAAGATAAATAATATTGATTTTACTGTACACTTTACAAAAATTGATATTCATATAATTTTCGGATCTTGGAATATTTATATATATAAAAAAAAGTTGAAAGTCCGAAAGTGTAGAAAACAAAACTAAAAATTCTAATTATTTCATTAATGAATTCATTCATTAGGGGTGTAAAAAATCAAATCAATCGAAAAATTTAACTAGGCTCCTCTATATACACTGAAAATAAATACAGTTCTCTAGATGCTTTTGTAATTTTTAATTAATAATGATTATTATTTATTCTACTTAATCAACCTTCTTAAACAGATGCTGCACTCTTATTTTTCTTCATTCGTTCTTCGATTTCCGGTCTAAAATGCCTGATGAGACCTTGAACAGGCCAAGCAGCACCATCAGCCAACGCACAAATTGTGTGCAATTCTATTTGTTTTGTTAATTCCCACAACATATCGATTTCGTGTACTTCAGCATTTCCATCGATAAATCTACGAACAATTATTTTACTATATTTAAAAAAAAGAAGCAATTTTCTCCTCGTCAAAACAATTGTGTTTCAAAATTTTCTTAAACATAATAAATACTCTACTGCAAAGAAATTAAGAAATAATTATAAAAATTTAAAGAAAAAAAAATTATCAACCAAGAAGAGTAATTGTTTTGCATTAAATAATTGAAATACCTTTTCATGATTTTATACATCCAGCTAATTCCTTCGCGACATGGTGTACATTGTCCACAGGACTCGTGTTTATAAAAACTAATGAGACGAGCAATTGCTTTAATTATATCAGTTTGTTTATTCATGACAATTAAGGCAGCTGTACCAAAAGAACTCTGCACTCTGACGAGGTCATCAAAATCCAACAAAACTGTGTCACACACACTGAAAACAATTAGAATGTTAATATTGCTTTTTGAATTTCATTTCTTAAAGTGGCTTTTTTTCTACTTTTAAAAAAGAAAATAAAAATCCTCTAATTTCATTGTCTACTTTAAAATATTAGTTTTAATTAGTTCTTTATTATTGTTTTACCTTTTGGGAATAACAGGCGTCGAAGAACCTCCGGGAATGACACCTAGAAGATTATCCCAACCACCGATTACTCCACCTGCGTGCCTTTCAATCAATTCCTTTAAAGGAATTGACATTTCTTCTTCAACAGTGCAAGGATTGTTTACATGACCGGAAATATTGTATAGTTTTGTTCCGCTATTACGAGGTCGACCAAATGACGCAAACCATGAACCACCTCGTCGACAAATTGTCTAGAATCCAATTTAACATTGCTAATTAACTTTAGATTTTCTATTTATATTCAATCAAAAAATTAGAAAATAATTATAAAATTTTTCTTTTTCTAAGAAATTGATTTACAGTTAAGACAGTGAAAATAATTTGAAAAAATTAATCGAACAAAATAAAAAACTCACAGGAGCCACAGCAACAGTTTCAACATTAGTGACAGTAGTTGGACATCCAAATAGTCCAACATCAGCTGGAAATGGAGGCTTCAATCTTGGTTTTCCCTGTTTTCCCTCAATCGATTCAATGAGCGCAGTTTCCTCGCCACAAATATAAGCTCCCGCACCGCGTTGAACGAAAATATCGAAATCATAACCAGAACCACAAGCATTCTTACCAATCAAGCCCGCTTGATAAGCTTCGGCAATCGCAACTTGTACATTGGATGATTCATTGTAAAATTCTCCTCTAATATAAATATAAGCGGCACACGCTCCCATTGCACGTCCTGCAATTAAACAACCCTCGACAAGTTTATGTGGATCGTGACGTAGAATTTCTCGATCCTTACAAGTTCCTGGCTCTCCCTCATCACCATTGATTACCAAATATTTTGGTCGTCCATCAGATGGTTTATTCATAAAGGACCATTTCATTCCCGATGGGAAACCAGCTCCTCCACGTCCTCGAAGACCCGATACTTTTACTTCATTGATAATCCAATCGGATCCTTTATCCAAAATTTCCTTTGTTTTATACCAATCACCACGTTTAAGGGCACCTTTCAATCTCCAATCATGTCTTCCATATAAATTTGTAAAGATTCGATCCTGATCTGCTAAAGGACTTCCGAATTTCTGAAAAAAGTACAAAATAACATAAATATTTTAAATTTAAAATAATTTGAATTTTTTTCAAAATAGATGAAAAGTAATCAAAATTAAACATATATGACTAAAAATGGATATATAGCTCCGTGAAGTTGGCACTGCCAATATAAGGAAAATAGATTTTGTTGTATGGAATCGTTTGGTGGTCGTTTGGTGGTGTTTGGTATCCAAGTTTGGAGGTTTGGTAGTCAAAATTAAGAAAGTTACAACGATTATAAATTTTCAGTGCTAACTTCACGGCTGCACTGCACATTTATATATTTTTCGAAAATTCCTTTTGACATCGTTTGGTGGTCGTTTGGTGGTGTTTGGTAGTCAACTTTTGAGGTTTGGTAGTTGAAATTATAAGAGATAATCAATTTCTAAACATTTTTTCTTGGATGCGCATAAGGGTGCGCATAGCCGTATGGCGCAAAGATTCAAATTTTAATTTACTACTTTTACATTTTTTCCTACAATTTCGGGTGCATGATTTCTCCCCAAAGCCCAAAACATCGAATATCTAATGAATCGAATACCAAAAAGTCGAATAGCCAAAACCGCGAAAACTTAAATTATCGAATGTTTACTTAATCGAAAAACTAAAATTTCGAATATTTATTTAATCGAAACGCCAAAAGTTCGAATATTTGTTTATTAACGTTAATAATAAATAAATAAATAAATATAATGTTTATTAACGAAAATCTAAACAGTCGATTGTTTAATTAATCGAAAACGTAAAAGTTCGAATGTTTATGTAATCGAAAAACTAAAAGTTCGAATGTTTATTTAGTCGAAAAACTGAAAGTTAGAATGTTTATTTAATCGAAAACCTGAAAGTTCGAATGTTTATTTAACGAAAAACTAAAAGTTCGAATTCTTATTTAATCGAATAACTAAAAACTCGAATGTTTATTTAATCGAGAAAGTAAAAGTTCGAATAGTTATTTAATCGAAACCTAAAAGTTCGAATAGTTGTTTAATCGAAAACCCAAAAGTTCGAATGTTTATTTAATCGAAATACTAAATATTAGAATTTCTATTTCATCGAATCCCCAACTGTAAGAATACTCAAAAGATAGAATTTTCAAGAATTTTTCTTAAAAATTATTAAAAATAATTTATATTGAGAAGAATTTTAGTTAAAAATTCTAGAAAACAATTGAATTGAAATGTTGAAAATAATTTTATAGAAGTATAAGATTAATGAAAAACTATTAATGTTTCAGATAATTTCACAAGTCAAGATATTCGAAAATAAATGTACTGCATAAATTTTTTTGTTTAAATAATCATTTTTAGTATTCTTAATTAAAAATCTGCCTGCAAATTTGGGAAAGGTCAGGTAAAAATAAAATCAAATTTTTGTAGCAACCCTGATTAAATTATATTTTAAATTTGCAACTAATGACTTGAAAAATTTCTTTTCCAAAAACTTAAATAAAATACTTAAAATAATTAATTACTAATTTCTATAAAATTGTAATTATGCACCCGATTTTAATTCTAATTAGAAAAAAACTAATTTTGAAAATGTTTTGAAATTTGGCGCTAAAGTAAAAAACCCTATAAACTTGTCCAATTGGAACAATTCAAACAACATAGAAAGTGAAGTTACATGCCAAGAAAAATTCTATCTTTTGAGCATTTTTACAGTTGGGATTCGATGAAATAGAAATTCTAATATTTAGTATTTCGATTAAATAATCATTCTAACTTTTAGTTTTCCGATTGAATAAACATTCGAATCTTTAGTTATTCGATTAAATAAACATTCGAACTTTTAGGTTTTCGATTAAATAACTATTCGAACTTTTAGGTTTCGATTAAATAACTATTCGAACTTTTACTTTCTCGATTAAATAAACATTCGAGTTTTTAGTTATTCGATTAAATAAAAATTCGAACTTTTAGTTTTTCGTTAAATAAACATTCGAACTTTCAGGTTTTCGATTAAATAAACATTCTAACTTTCAGTTTTTCGACTAAATAAACATTCGAACTTTTAGTTTTTCGATTAAATAAACATTCGAAGTTTTACGTTTTCGATTAATTAAACAATCGACTGTTTAGATTTTTGTTAATAAACATTAGAACTTTTGTTTTTTCGATCAAATAAATATTCGAACTTTTGGCGTTTCGATTAAATAAATATTCGAAATTTTAGTTTTTCGATTAAATAAACATTCGATAATTTAAGTTTTCGCGGTTTTGGCTATTCAACTTTTTGGTATTCGATTCATTAGATATTCGATGTTTTGGGTTTTGGGGAGAAATCATGCACCCGTACAATTTAACTTTTAAAATTATGTAGTGGACAGTATGTTATAAGATTTTTTGCAAATTGTATGTAGATATGATAAGAGATTGTGAAATTAAGAAAATAATAAAACATTAAATTAAATGTAAGATATTTCATTTGCTTGCTTTTGAGCTGTGACCGCACCCTAAGTCAAATCGACAAAACGTCGAAACATGAAAATGGTGCCCTAAATTACTTGAGGAACATTACGTCCCAGTCCTGGGCTTTTCATGGCAGAAATTGTGTTCGTAATTGGCCAACCCTGTATGTGACTATGTGGTTACACCTTAATAGATCACTTTTTCGGGAATCCCTTTTGCTATCAAAAGACGCTAAATTATTGTTATTGTTGATTGATGCTATTTATTGTAATTGATTATTGTTATTCATTGTTTATATTCACTGCTTTGACACATCGAAGACTTAGTTGGCCTCCCATTTTTGGCCTATTGTGGCTTATAAAGTAAGTATATAGCATTTATACTTTTGACTTTAATTTATTAATATTATACATAGCAGATATGAGATAATTTCAAAGCGTTGAAATTCCAGTGATACTGTAAATATAACTTTATGAACTACTGTTTATATATATATTCCTCTTCATGTCCACGAACCTATATATGTGACGTTCCTTGATGAAAGGGACCTTAGCTGTTTTTAACAAAACTAAAATTTGCAGTAAAAATAAATAATAGTCACTAGTTTTCGGTACAAACTATTAATATTTAATTCTTTATTATATGCGCAATATTTTCAGTAAAAAGTACTTTTGATGTTAAATAATAAAAAGTAGATTCTTAATATAGTGAAAACTACCAAAACATAACCTAAAATTTTAAGAAGCTAAGGTCCCTTTCACCGTGGAACGCACATATGCTCTTATGCTTTTTGATCATGTACGTGAAACTATGATCATGTTAATAATTTGAATGATTTTAAGAACTAATGCATTTTTCGATTTTATTTCCAAAACTCTAAAATAGTTTTAATTCTAGTTTCGGAAAGAGAATTGAAAGTAAACACAGAGGTTAACATTATATTTGATCTATCAAAGAAGCAAGAACTTTGACAATTAAACATTTTAATATTATTTAATTAGTTTATTAAGACTAATATTTACAAATTTGCAATTTTATCTATTGGAATTTGTCAAAAGGTATTCCTAATGCTATGTAGAATACCGTTTAGTAGAATTTTGACTAAGATAAATTTTTAGCAATGATTACTCTCCGTTTTATTAATTTCTATTATTTGTACGATTTCTTTTTTTTAATGAATAGTCATTTAATAAAATGCTAATAATGACAAAAAGTTTCTGTTAAATGTTCTTTTAAAAAATGAAAGTTCAATCAAGTGAATTTTCGATCTATTTATTTAAATCACAAAGAAATAACGTTTGGTCAAATAACAATTTACTTTCAACTTTTCAAAATCTCCTTCTTTGAAATAAAAGTTAAGTAAAATAGAAATAAATAGAAATTCATTTTAAATGTAAATTTAATTAAATATAAGCATTGTAGGAAATGAATATTTAAATAAATAGAACAATAGAAAATAGATTTAAATAAATTTAGTTAAATAGAAAATTGATGTTCTTAATTTTGAAATATTGTCAATTAAAATTTATTATTTTTGAGGAATATATGAAAATATCTCTTTATTCTTTATATTATAAATAATATTGTACATTTTAAATTATAGATGCCACGAGCAGCAAAAGTCTCAGTCGAAGAGGCTCTGACTGCCATTTGTGAACTCAGTGAAGATTTAAAAGATGGTTCGTTGCCTCCATATACACATGAGTTTTATCAAAAAGTAAGTCAGTTATTAAACCGAAATTGGAGTGCTCATAACGTATATACAAATCTACGAGAAAATAGAAGAAGTTTAAAGACTGAGGTCTTTAAGAAGCTAGGAATAAAAGAACCTTCGAAGACATCATCAAATGTTGAATGTGAAAGTCAAGAACTTATTAATTTTTACTCTGATGACGATGATGACGATGATGACGCAGATGATGGTGTAGACAGTGATGAAATAAATAATTCTTTTAGTGAATTATTTAAAACAAAAGACAGTGAAATATTTAATATGTGCCTAATAAATGAACTTTGGGAAAAAATGAAGCCAGTCTGCAAAATTTATAATGGAAAGGAATTTTTAGTACTTACACCAGGTGTATGGACGGACATTGTTGCCGACGAATTTTGGAAAGAATTCAGAATTCCTTGCGCTTTCACTTTTCGTTACTGCAAAGTATCAGAGAACCCAGAAAAAATTTACGTGAAAATTCAAGGCCGCTGCAAAAGTAAAGAATGCAATAACGAATTTCTTGGTTTCATTGAAGAAAAACCAATTCCTGGAAGCGACGTTTGGATGAAAGTGAATTGCAAAGATACACGACAAAATTCTCACGAAGAAATGAAAAGGCAGTTGCGAAACAAAAAACGCCAGGACATCGGAAAAGAAGTCATCACAGAAGGAGCCTCAAATTACAGGAGAAAGTTAGCTAAAAAAATTCAAAATTTAGGCGATGTTGAAGCTCCTGTTTTGTATAAAAATGATGTCATCCGAAAATTAATTCAAGAGACTAATGACAAGAAATTAGGAGTAGATGCAAAGGATGGAAACGATGTACAAAAAATTTTAACCAAATTAAAATACAGTCCTCAATATGCTG